TTTTCCTCGCGAATATTATGGGGGAATCAAACGGACGGCTGTGGTTTCTCGAGGAGTTGGAGTCGTCATCTGGCCGTTCGATTTAGGGCTGAGGTGGGCGTAAGAAGGATTTACCGCAGTCTGGTTGATGGAAAAGGAGATTTTTCGGTCCAGCCCAAGTTTGACTGATAAATGATACTGTGATCTTTTCTAAATACAATATTGACTTGGATCCAAATCATTTTCCAATTTATTAATTAAAAGATTGACTAGTACAACACCAGTATATTACACGGATACGTGCTAAATCTTTTTCTTAAATTTAAAATTAATGAAAAAAGATGGTTGAAAATTTAAATTTTTTTTTTCAAAATGTATATATTATTATATATTTTAGTATGAGACTTGTTACTTATGCAATTTACTTGTGTTATATTATAATAATTTTTTAACATATAACTACATTAAACATAAATATATTAATTGAGAAATAATTTTATTTTTTTAATTAACTTAATAAATAATTTTATTATTATTATATATAAATATAAGTTATTTATTTTATATATACAATATGTATGTCAAATCGAAAATCATCAAAAGATTATTAATTTTATATATTATATATGTAAAATCGATAAGAAATACAAAAGTTATCAACATTTAAAATATATTTGCAATTCAATTGTTACAATAGGATATTATATTAAAATACAATTAATATATCTAAAATGATCATAAATAAATCAACATATTTATGTTAATATGGACCTAATTATTTTTAGATTGAATTAAATTAAAATATATCCAAGCCAAATAATGAAACATGAAATTCTGACACTTAGAATCACGGAGCATGCAAACTTGTCACTTAGGCTCAATACATTCAGAAATTATATATAGAGGATTTTCATGTGACTGACAAAAAAAATTTGTGTTTAGTTGCCTAAGTGGCAAATTTGTATGTTTCAAATACTGACACGGTAAAATTTGTTATTTTTTGCTTGGTAATTCAGTTTGTATAAAAAATATTAAATCGGGTTTGCTATTTGTCATAAATAATTTATTTTGACAAATTTGTCTTTTTAAAATCCAGTATTATCATACAAAACTAATATTATTGTATATTTTATTTATTAAATGTCATAAGTTTTATCATTTCACATGTTAACACACTATCTCTCTACTTGATAAGCACTAAAAGTGATCGATGTTACCTTGAGTCCAAATTCGAGTCCAAATAAATTTGTAGCATAAGATATAGGGAAATTTTCACTCTTCCCGTAAGAATTGCAAAGTATTGCAGATTTACCACTCACCACATTTTTTTTGGATATGTGCCATAACTGAGTGAAAAAATTATATATCTACCATTATTGAGATTACCATTATTTATTAGTTACCTAAATAAATGGTAACTGATATCCTTAATTTACGCCAAACATTAAAGTCTTAAGAGAGAGAAAATGACATGTGTTGAAATTGATTTGCCTAATTTAACAAAAGATAATAATAAATATATATGACTCCGTTTTTTCTTAATTTGAGTTATAAAGATGATCATCAACTACCTAATATATGTTTTAATTGGAGTTATCAAGATATCCATCAACTACCCAAAATATATATGTTTTCTTTAAATTTGTAAAAAGCGAAAATATTTTTTATTTTTTTTTAAAATGAACCATTTTTCCAGATATTGCATTTTTACGAGTTGGACAAATTTAATTGTATCTATACCTAAAATCTAGGATTTTATTAGAAGTATACCTCATGTAAATAACCATACAAATAAAACGCTCCATCCTTAATTATCGCTGACTTATAAGAGAGAGAAATAAAAATAAATAATTAATTCTCGCAACTGAAATTTGTTAATTCACGCAGCTGTCATGTGGTGTATATTAAGTTTATAGTAGTATATATTCAGTATATGCGCGCAGCTAGAATTCGAAAAATAAAAATAAATAATTAATTCGTGCAATTGGAATTCCTTAATTCACACAACTGTCAGATGGTATATATTAAGTTTATATTAGTATATATTTAGTATATGTGCGCAACTAGAATTCCTTAATTCACACAGTTGTCATGTGGTATATATTGCGTTTATGTTAGTATATATTCAGTATATATTGCGTTTATGTTAGTATATATTCAGTATATGTTGCAATGAAAAAAAAATGTCTTCCATCAAAAAATTGTATCTTCTTTTTTTTTTTCTTTTGTCTCTATCATATATCGAAAATATACTGAATATATACCATACATATACAAAAAAAATAATAATAATAAATCAGTTTATGTTTTGTCTCGCGATAAATTTCTTTATCATATACTGAAAATAAACTTACTATAAACCATGTTTGTACTATTTTTGTTGCATTTTTCGCTATATTTTTTGTTCTTCTTTTCCCCTCATTTTTCTTCATTTTAGGTTATTTCGTGAGTTTTTAGTTCGTTTTGTGTTTTATTATGTGTTT